ATGGTATTACGTAATATATTAAATATTCAACACACAACTATATTACTAAAAATATTGATTGATTAATTTAATCTCCAAATTATTGTGATGATTTTTATATATGCCAAAACGGAAATAAATGATGTGGTCCATATTATACAAATATAACAATGAAATCTATTTTGGAATTACATTAAAGAGAATAAATTCATATAATACAGTATAACTATAATCAATGGTGAAAAAGGTCATTACGACAATTAATACACAAATTTTTAGTCATTTAATTTTCTGAATTATAGCGATTTAGTTTTTTATCAGTAATAATGAATTAGATTAATAGTTTTACTAAAATGCCCCTGAGTTTGAGCGGTAAAAATTGGCCAAGGCACTTTTGCTATTATATACACTAGTAAATTACTTGTAATAGAGCCAGTAGCATTTCAAAAAAAAAAAAAAAATTACTTGTGCAATGCACGAATAATTATATATATATATATATATATATATATATATATATATATATATATATATATATATATATATATATATAAATAAAGTTAATAAAATTAAATATGAATTTATAAACAATTCTAATATATTTGAAAGTATACATTTATTTGATTATAATATTATTGCAAAATTATCATTTCAACTAATTGAATAATATATGACTCGTTTGTCTGTAATTATCTAAAAAAATCTATATGTAATATTATTTATGTAACTATATTATTACTAAAATAAATATGAAAAATGGTAAATAATTTAATTTACTTATTATACAAATTAATCCAACGACCCATATTTAGCTGTGATTTTTCGAATTTCAAATATGGTATGTTTTTTTTTTATATGTCGTAATTATTGTTGATTAACATTTACAAGATTGCTAAAATTATTGATGGATTAATCTATTATGTTAATCGCAATAATTTCCATTTCAAACTTTTTAAATTATTGATAAGTTATTTCCTTACTAATTCATGGTGAACAAAATCATTTCTAGTCCATATTAGAAGGAAAATAAAAACAATACAATTGTAATGGAAATATAATAAATGCTCATTTTTTTCTATATATGAAAAAAGTGCGGCAATTAATGATTTCTACCTAATTATATATGTATATTATGTTGTATATTTATGGTCATTTTGCAAATGGTATTACACAATATACTAAATATTCAACACGCAACTATATTACTAAAAATATTGATTGATTACTTTAATCTCCGAATTATTATAATTTTTATATATGCCAAAACGGAAATAAAATATGTGGTCCATATTATACAAATATAACAATGAAAATCCACTATGGAATTACATTAAAGCGAAGAAATTCATATAATATAGTATTGCTATAATTAATTGTGAAAAAGGACAATATGATAATTAATACACAAATTTTTAGTCATTTAATTTTCTGAATTGTAGCTGTTTATTCTATATATAACTAAAGTGCGGCAATTAACTAAAGTGCGGCAATTAATGATTTCTGCCCAATTATATATGTATATTATGTTGTATATTTATGGTCATTTTGCAAATGGTATTACGTAATATATTAAATATTCAACACACAACTATATTACTAAAAATATTGATTGATTAATTTAATCTCCAAATTATTGTGATGATTTTTATATATGCCAAAACGGAAATAAATGACGTGGTCCATATTATACAAATATAACAATGAAATCTACTTTGGAATTACATTAAAGAGAATAAATTCATATAATACAGTATAACTATAATCAATGGTGAAAAAGGTCATTACGACAATTAATACACAAATTTTTAGTCATTTAATTTTCTGAATTATAGCGGTTTAGTTTTTTATCGGTAATAATGAATTAGATCAATAGTTTTACTAAAATGCCCCTGAGTTTGAGCGGTAAAAATTGGCCAAGGCACTTTTGCTATTATATACACTAGTAAATTATTTGTAATAGAGCCAGTAGCATTTAAAAAAAAAAAAAAATTACTTGTGCAATGCACGAATAATTATATATATATATATAAAGTTATAAAATTAAATATGAAATTATAAACAATTCTAATATATTTGAAAGTATACATTTATTTGATTATAATATTATTGTAAAATTATCATTTCAACTAATTGAATAATATATGACTCGTTTGTCTGCAATTATCTAAAAAAATCTATATGTAATATTATTTATGTAACTATATTATTACTAAAATAAATATGAAAAATGGTAAAAAATTTAATTTACTTATTATAAAAATTAATCCAACGACCCATATTTAGCTGTGATTTTTCGAATTTCAAATATGGTATGTTTTTTTTATATGTCGTAATTATTGTTGATTAACATTTACAAGATTGCTAAAATTATTGATGGATTAATCTATTATGTTAATCGCAATAATTTCTATTTCAAACTTTTGAAATTATTGATAAGTTATTTCCTTGCTGATTCATGGTGAATAAAATCATTTCTAGTCCATATTAGAAGGAAAATAAAAACAATACAATTGTAATGGAAATATAATAAATGCTCATTTTTTTTTTCTATATATGAAAAAAGTGCGGCAATTAATGATTTCTACCTAATTATATATGTATATTATGTTGTATATTTATGGTCATTTTGCAAATGGTATTACACAATATACTAAATATTCAACACGCAACTATATTACTAAAAATATTGATTGATTACTTTAGTCTCCGAATTATTATAATTTTTATATATGTCAAAACGGAAATAAAATATGTGCTCCATATTATACAAATATAACAATGAAAATCCACTATGAAATTACATTAAAGCGAAGAAATTCATATAATACAGTATTGCTATAATAATTAATTGTGAAAAAGGACATTACGATAATTAATACACAAATTTTTAGTCATTTAATTTTCTGATTTGTAGCTGTTTATTTTTTTTATCGGTAATAATGAATGAGATCAATAGTTTTACTAAAATGCCCCTGAGTTTGAGCGGTAAAAATTGGCCAAGGCACTTTTGTTATTATATATACTAGTAAATTACTTGTGCAATGCACGAATAATTATATATATATATATATATATATATATATATATATATATATATATATATATATATATATATATATATATATATATATATATATATATATATATATATATATATATATATATATATATATATATTAAGTTAATAAATTAAATATGAAATTATAAATAATACTAATATTTTTGAAAGTATACATTTATTTGATTATTATAAGATTATTGCAAAATTATCAGTCAATTAATTGAATAATATATGACTCGTTTGTCTGCAATTATCTAGGAATAATCTATATGTAATATGATTTATGTAACTATATTATTACTAAAATAAATATGAAAAGGGTAAATAATTTAATTGCTATCTGCAATTCTAATAAGAGCAACGTTAGGCCCTTAACTGTAACAAAAAAATATCGGTAGTATTGTTTCTTATCATATTATTATTTTGATTTTAGTATTTTATTTATGATTTTCCTTATTCCCCTCTATTATATTATTTTCACAACTCATGAAACATGTAGGGGAAAAACTACTACTGTCAAATATCAATAGATGTTTGTAAGATAAAGAGTTAATAGTAAAACTAAGATCTCATCATATACACAACAAGACAAATCTAAAACTTTCTACACCATAATCTCATTGCACGATGAATCCATCTATGCTACCACTAGTAACCCAATTGAAATTGTCCATTGACTATAACTTTTCGGAGGAAATAATGCTTGTGATGACTAAAATTGACCATTGACTATAATAAAGTTACCAATTTGTTATTTAGTTAACGCCTTAACGGATGTCTAACGGCAAAATAAACGGAAAACCAAATTGATTACGATTTTTAAAGTTAAGGGACTTAATTGATAAAAAAAAAAAAAACAATGACCAAATCAATAATTTCGCTATAATTAAGAAACCATTTCAGTAATTAAATAGATGTACCTTATAATGATGTAGCAATGATTTAGGTAATCTGAAGACAGTTACTATGTTTGAAAACAAATCGTATTGTCTTATATTATTTTTTATAATAATAACAATAATATGTCAGAAACGTGATCTCATAATTTCACAAAGACTATTAATTAACCCTAGCATTCTAACTACACCACCTTTATTACATTCTAACATTTGAAAGCATTATTTATAATTCCTCAATTACAGCGATAATATTACAACATTGTGTTAATCTACTTAATATAATATATTAATATTAATAACAACTTTTATTATTATGATTATCTACTCTCACATGTAAGTCTGTAAGTGTTTGACTGCTCTTTATCTCCATCTATATTGTAATAAAATTTTTCAAAAACATAAAAAACGAATTCACATCTCCCTCCAGTTTTTAGTCTTTTAGCGCTCATCTTAAGAGCGTGTTAAGCACGCACGCTCATCGCACGTAAAGCAGCCATTTCTTGCACGGCTCCTCTCTTTCCGCAAACCTGCACGTGTCAAGGCGTTGGATGACCTGGACTTTGTACACGTGGCAGAATTCTACTATCCCTCAGGACTCAAATCCCAGCCATTCTCCCAATCTCAGACAATTTCACTTAAGCACGGGCCTTTATCCTATACAAATGAGATTTCTCTCCCGTCACTGCAACCACCAACCAAAATTGCCCACGTGGAAACCGTACACATTATTGTCCTAAAGGTACTACCCATAAAGCACGCCGGACAAGCACGTCTCCTGGTTTCGGCTACACTGGATAGAACCCCGGTACACCTCCCTGTCAGGGTTGCAGCTGTCTATAAATACAAGCACAGCAAAAATATAGTGATAGATAAAAAATTTAGAGAGAGAAAGCGCGTTTCTTGAGGAGGGGCGGGCGAGAGAGAGAGAGAGAGAGAATAGGGGGGGGGGGGGGGGGGGGGGACTTCTGCTCCCTCTGCAGGTATATACGGACAAAAAATATTTATTTATTTATATATATAATCCATTTTTATTGGCTAATTGTATGTAATTACGGTTTATCTTCTGTTTATTTCGGTGTGTTTTTATTTTGTGAAAATTGAGGTTGTGGAATTGTGTTGGTGAATTTTGAGCTTGGTGGTAAGGTGATGCCGGTGGATTATAGGGTTTTCTCGGCTTGGATTTGGTGGTTTTGAATGTAATCTCTTGACTTGCTTGTGTAAGTTTGTCGAATTACAGATGTTTGGTGGTGGATTTAACTCTTTGAGTTGAGTTGACTTCGTCTGTCGTAGGGCTTACTTGAATTACTTGGAGATTTTTGGTTTTCTCGATTTAAATTTACTGATTGTTTGGTTGTCGTTTGTGGATTGAAGTGTTTGAGTTGAGTTGACTTCGTTTCTGTTTAGGGTTTACTCGAATTTCTTGGGGGTTGGGTGGGGTTTTGCGCTGCTTCCGGGATTTGTTGATTCAAGTTGAAGCCTTTCATTAGCTATTGTTGTTGTTGTTGTTGTTTTTAAGCTTTAATTTGATGAATTGTCTTGAAGGATGGTTTAGTTGGGGGGAGGGGTGTAGAATGCTGGTCTCGGCTTTTCTTGCTTAATGTTGAAACCTTTTGGCTGCTTTATTTTTTATTTCCTACTTTAACTTAGATGAATTATCTTGATCTGTGCTGTAAGTTCTGGTTTATGAATTATGTCTGAACATGCAGGGTGGAGGTATAGAAGTTTAGCCCTGTATCTGGTCTCTTCTAACTAGAGTCATTTATTGTTAAAGCTTGGTTGCATGAGGAGTGAAAATAATGTTTATTCACTGTGCATAACTGCATATGATAAAGGAAGTGTAAAGTGAACACTAAACAGCATATCTTACTGATTTGATCTGATGAAATAAGATATAACCCAAAAAGTGAGACCATAAATTGGAGTAAAAAAGTAATAACAGAAGGGTTATGTGATGCTTGGTTGATTATTTTTCAACTTATTTTTATTTTAAATTCCAATAAATACACAAAAGAATGAGTAAATGCAGTCACAATCATGAGTAAAGATGTGTTTGATAATTCAAACAACTTTAGCCGGGAAGACAATAGTCACAATACTATAAAAGAAAAGAGAACTTTCCATAACTTCCATAACATTTTCCACAATTTGGCATTCATTTGTTCTAATGTGAGCACTCCACATCTAATGCTAATATTTATTAAATTAGCCAATCTGTGGAGATCCTTTTCCCTTTTCTTTAATTGCTGGTGATTTTTTTGGCTACTTTAGGAAGCTACTTCTAGATTATGATGTATGCAAATCATTTTGGTAACATGTATTATAGATTAAGAATGAGGCAATCAGATCTTTGAACAAGTAAGGTTAACAAAAAATTAAGTTTTTAAAAGGAAACTCAAGTGTCTAATGTAGCTTTTTATGCATGATTTTCTTCATATCAATCTTTGAGTGAACAAGTGTTCGACTGGTTGTTCTCCAATAATTACAGTGAACTTTATTTGTAGAGAGAAAAGTGGGGTAAGGGTGTTGAAAGTGTGGGGCTTTAGCATTTGATGTGGAAGTTAATGAGGAAGTGAAAGGAACTCGAGTCTCCTCCTCCTCTTGCTTTGATTATCTTCTCTCTTTGCTGCCTTTATTTATGGATCAATACCAAAGAGGCTCTGACTCATCTCTTCTATGATAAATGATTTTCATGATCTCTTGTGACTGATCTGCTTGTGACAACATTTTTCCTTCACCTGCATATGCTGCCAGTGTCATATCAAGATCTCAAAAGATATCAGAATTGTGGGTTAGATGCCATCAATAAAGATGAAGGCAAAGTCAACCACATCCTGTCCGAGAGAAAAAAATGGTCTTCACATCTGCGAAAAATCAAGTGTTATATACAAGAATCCCCTCTCTCATGTCAAAAATGCTCAAAATGGAGAACTTGTTGATTTTATTCAAAATCATCATGATGGTAAGTGATGTAGGTCTGAAATTCAGCTTATTTAATTATTTAATTAAATTAAATCAATATAGTAGGCTAAAAAGAAACAGTGTTATTGTGTGTATTTTAAGAAAATTCATACACTTCACATTGTTTTATATTAACATGCTTACATGCTGAAGGGATGTAGCTTATTTAATGGTTCCCACTTTTTTAAAACTGTCTTTTTATCTTAATGTTTTGTGTTTTTGTGTGGTGCCTTGTCTTGATTATTTAGTCTACATAAAATGAATATCATGAAGGGTTTCTGCAAGCATTACTAAGTTTCTACTATTGTTCTTGTAGTTTCATTTTGCAGCAGAGCATTCCTGGATGATTTCAGAGAAGACAGAGCTCAAGGTGATGAATTGCATAATGGAGAAGATCCTCCACTTGAAAAGAAGCAATTACCTCTGAGTGATTCTGCAACCCTTAGCAGCATGGTAAATTTGATAATTTTTTAGTCTTGGAGTTCTATTTTTTGATCCCTAAGATATATATACACAAAGTTGTACATTACAGCACAGACTGAGTTTGTTTTGGTTCACACTTCTGACTTAAGGGGATGGAGGTGTCTCCTCTGCCCAACTTATCTGCTCACTCGTGTAGTTAGCTTGCTGATCATTTATATAGTTTGATGGGGATGTGCCTAGGCTCTTCTTTGACGATAGGTGGTTGAACCTTCTGGGCTGAAAAAAACAGTTTATTTTTACCATAACTTGGTAACCTGATACCTATAGTAAGCTGTTAGTGACCACCACTGTAAAATAATATGGAGTAATACTTTCTGTTGTCTTGTCTTTCATATTTCGTTTCGTGTTCGCCTTTTCTGATTCTTGTCCATCTGTTTGTTCTGATATTTATATGATTGTATCCCCTACTATTATCTGATTATTCTTCTTTTCATTTGGATTATTTGAGTCATTTTTCAGCTGATAGTCATTTGGCATTTGGTAAAATCTTTGGCTTGGACCGTCATTCATTACTAAAACTGAAAGTAATTTATAGTTGACTGTCACTGGGAATTATAGGCGTTACTGATAAGTGTAGGACTATTTTGGTTATTGCTTCTTAAAACGCAAAATTTTAATGAATGAGACCATGGATTTTGATCTATAAGTGTTCTTGTTTAGCTTTGCTGATCCTTTTATCATTTATGTATAGCTTTAATAAACTATTGTGTCTTTTATTTCCTTTTTCATTTTCATTGCAATTTATTTACATTCTGTAATCTTGTTAATGTTAAGCATTGGTGTTGAAAATCAGTTTGCTTTCTGATTTATAGTTTTGAGTTGTTTACAGATTGAAAATGTGAAATTCAGGTATTTAAATTTCAAATATTAAGCTGACTTACCATGTTCGAAACTTGTGCTAGGATTCTATACCGACAACCTGCACATCAAGCATGGAGACAATTTTTTCTCCTATTCTGGAATCCATTGATGCCCATAATGAGTCAAATGTCCCCAGTGATGGAGGTATATTCTAAGACTTTTGAAATCACTGTTTAGATGTTCCAAGAGGGACTTTCATTTAAATAAGGTTTCTTGAAATATTACATCAGTAGATAGTAAGATTTGAGATCAAGCTGCTTTTTGTTCTCTTGTATATAGAAGGAATTAATGAGGTAACATTATTATTAACAGGGTAGTCTTGTGTATCTTTTATGAATAAATGAGTAATATTATCTACAAAAAAAAATGTGAAGCAGTCTACAACTTTTCCCTTGACTTTGTTTGGTGCCCATGTCAAAATCCAATGAGAGATAGTAATTATTGATTTTGGAGTCAATAAATAGTTAAATAATTCCTTTACAATTCCACTATTATTATTATTTTAAAATTTATAATATTACCACATCTGTATGAGAGAAACAGAATGGAAAGTCTAATTTTCGCAATCTGATTCTTCTTGATGGCTGTAGGGAGCAATGATCTCTATCTGCCATTGTTGGAGACAGAAGATAGCGATAGCAGTGGAAGTTCATGTGAATATCATACATGCAATGTATCAGATTTCTACATTTCTGACATGATTGTTTCTGCTTTACCTACTGATGATGGAATAACTTATGATGATGGTTCAGCCACCATGTTTTTCTCTGATTACAAATGTGAAGAGCCAAATATGCTTACTAACATGTCTGAGGAATACATGGTATTTCCTTTTCTTGAACATACTCCAGAAGCTGGGCATGACAATGATAATAGAACTTGCAGAGAAAACATTACTGATTCTGACCAATCAAGCTTATATTTGGCAATCCACCAATTGAGATCCTCTGATCAGGAAAATGCTGTCTTTACACACTCAGAATCAGATCAATCTGATTGCTTTGATCCACACATGTTTATTAGAAACATGCCGGATGGACCAGATGTGGCAAAGCCGGCCATAGTGCCAAATAAATTGGAGAAAAAAAAACCAGTCACCCTCGTACTGGATCTGGATGGTAGGTTATTTTCTGTATTTTCCTTTTCCATGTATTGGCATTCATTACGCTATGTTGTAGAATGATTTTAGAATTTAGGTAACCAAATGCTTTTTGTTTATCAGTAATATCTTTAGTAAATATCTTACCATTTATGAGGCATTCAGATTCTTATTGGATGGATCTAATACTAAACATAAAAATGAAATTTGGGGGGTACTTTAGATTTTATATTTGTAGGTCTCAAACTGTCAAACTGCAATGCTTGCTCCCATTGCATGTAGTCTGGTGGTCACAGTTCGACATTTTAACATATTCTAATGTTGCTTTTCATGTGTCCAGAGACACTTGTCCATTCTACGCTGGAAGAGTGTGATAATGCAGACTTCACATTTCCAGTCTTTTTCAACATGAAAGAGCATATTGTATATGTAAAACAGAGGCCTCATCTCAGGTCATTTCTGGAGAGAGTTTCAGATCTGTTTGAAATTGTAATATTCACAGCAAGTCAAAGCGTCTATGCAAAGCAGCTACTAGACATACTAGATCCTGATGGGAAGTATATTTCGAGACGAGCTTATCGTGAATCATGCATCTTTTCAGATGGTACTTACACCAAAGACTTGACAGTGTTGGGCGTTGATCTTGCAAAGGTTGTAATTATTGATAATTCTCCACAGGTAGTTACCTATCCATTATATTTGACATTGAATTCTTAAGTTAAAACTTTAAAAGATATCTTTATTTGTTGTATGTTCTATTTTTAGTTATGATTTAATATTGTTATGCCTGATCTTTATTTGTTAAGAAAGATGTGTACATGGGATATGGAATCTCAGAATTACTCCTTATCAGACTTGTGACAACAAGGTTTGGTTTGAGGATTTATATTTCCTTTTTTTTTTTTTTTTGTTTTTTTTTCCTTGACCTTCTGGAGAAAGAAGAGCACCCCCCCCCCCCCCCAAAAAAAAAAAAAAAAAAGACAAACTTTCAGAGATGTATTTAGGGTCTGAATTAGACTCAAGGTTTAGGGAAGAAATGTGGTCTGAGTTTCAAATATTTATTATTGATCTAATTTTAGCCTCTTTGCCCTATTGTTAGAAGCAAATTTAGTAATGAGGACTTGCCTGTTAAGAGAACGGTGAATCGTGAAGATGTAATTGAATAATACTTTTACTTCTTGATTTCAGGTTTTCAGGTTACAAGTGAATAATGGAATTCCTATCAAGAGTTGGTTTGATGACCCATCAGATTCTGCACTGATTTCACTACTACCATTTCTTGAGATATTGGCTGGTGCAGATGATGTTCGTCCTATCATTGCTGAGAAATTCGGTAACAAGGAATAAGAGTTCCTCTCCCTAGTAGTTCCTTTAACAGATCCTTGTCTCTTTCATCATTTTAAGAACATTTAGGTGCTCGTTTTTCTATCCATTATGAGCCATGATATGATTTTATTTTTCAAATAAGAATATTACCCTCTCCTGCTTGCATCAGCTTTGGTGCTTACTTCCTTACCTTTACCCTTTGACAAGCTTTCAGTTCATCTAATTGTTGCAGAAGGTAGTTGACAAGAGTTCCTTGGTTTGTGCAATGTACAGTTATAGGTTCTTATAAGAAACAGTTATAGGTTTGCAGTTCTTTTCAAGTTTGTGTATATCTATCAATTTTTGTGAAATGAATTTTGTGATTTCTTGGAAGTCTCATATCTGAATCTGATTAATCCTTCTTTTATTTTACGTTGGAGTTAACTTATTTGAACAGTAGCTTCAACTTTAATTCATATTTGGAAAGAAACTTGAGTAAGATTTGCAACATGTTTGATTACCAAATGTGGTTTGGTTGATGCTTTCTGTACTGGCTTTTTGTCACTTGCTTGATAATTATGGTTTTTTAAGTGATGGTTTGAATCTCTAATTCTAGTATGATAATCAAAGCAAAAAAGAAAGAAAAAAACATATAAGGAAAAGTCCTCTTCTTTGTTTATTTCTATATATTTAAATGTAATTTTTTTGTATGTTTATTATGCTGAATATATGCAAAGCATGAATGCATGATATATATCGAATGCCAAAAGGCTGTGAATAATTCTGTAACCTAATTAATAACCTATAAGGTTAGGTAGTGTGTGGGTTAGGGTGGCGTTGAATTCTTTATGGTTAGAGATTACTGTTAAGAAATAAAACTCTCTATATATTTCTCTTACTTCTTCCAAACTACACACTGCCACATATATACATGCTAAACACAATGTAGAAGACCCTTCACATCTCTACTTTACTATCCATGGCCCTTCACATCCCTTTGGCTTTTCATATGCCTTGGCCCTTCATATCCCTACTTTATTCACTTCTAACACTCCCCCCAAGCTGGAGCATAGATATTAATCATGCCCAACTTGTCAAAATATATCACATGAGCCATAGGACTTCACATCTTGAGTCATAACCTTCGAGATCAACACCCATGTCTCGAACCGCTTGAACAATCTTCAAACCACGCTGTGCCAAATCAGTCCACAGCTCAACTTGTTGCACCAACAAAGCTTCCACGAAGCCAAAATCAGGCCAAACACTACAGCGCACATGCTACTCACACCCCACACCATTATCAACACTGCCTAACACCACAGTGCTCCTGCTTTTCGCACCACAAACCATTATTAGCGCTGCCCAACACCAGTGTTTTCCTGTTTTCCTGGTGCACACAAATTGGTTCATCCTGAACCAATTCTTCTTCAACCATCGGCCTCCCATAACTGCCGTGGCATATGCCAGGTCCGCATCCCTCCTGGCATCCGTGTTGCCCATCACTGCAGCACCCAGGATTGATTCACATTGAATAAGCTGCACTGACTCAACTCATACCAAAATATGAGACTTATCCTATGACCCATAGCCCAAACAACATATAAACTAAACTTAATAAGGCCACAAATTATAAAAAACAACACAAAATAACATAAACCCTACTGGCCAATTATTCTTTCTCCTTATCTCCAAAAACCAAACCACCGCCTTCTCCTTTGTATGCAGTGGTGGTAGCAGAAGCAGTAGCCTGCACAAGTAGCAGTTTGACAGCAGAAACAGCAGCATCACAACTGTCACAGACCTGGAGAACACCGAAACCTCTCACTCTTCACCTAGGTCGACTCTCCTCTTCACGACGAAACTCCCGGTGGAGTTGCCGTCGAAAACGGTCGCGGGAAAAGGCCTCACGCGCCCTCACGCGCCGGCGCGTGGTCATCGGAGCTCAGGTCAGCTGCGGCGCGTGGAGGCTACGTTGGTCGCTCCGCTTCCTCTGGCGGCGTCGCCTCCTTGCGCCGATCAATGCCCACTGGGTTCTAATACCATGTTAAGAAATAAAACTCTCTTACTTCTTCCCAAACTACACACTGCAATATATATACATGCTAAACACAATGTAGAAGACCCTTCACATCCCTACTTTACTATCCATGGCCTTCACATCCCTTTGGCTTTTCATATGCCTTAATCCTTCATATCCCTACTTTATTCACTTCTAACAATTACCATTAGGGAGACTAATTACAACCTTCCCTTTTATGAAGATAATAACTTGCTTGGAATCCTAATTTTTAGATTAACAAGGTGTGCTGCTTTTCAAATATTAGCAGGCATTAATTATGTGAAGTAGTTGAACCAATTATAATTCTCCAACCAATTACCTAAATGTTGAATGGTTTTTGCCAGTGGTGTGAGCTTGTTAGAGCTTTACTGCAAGTGTCCTTTTGAATATTTGCTTGGATTAAATTTCCTAGTCAATACTCAATAGAAACACTAAATTGAGTCTGTCCTACTGAATGCCAAATGCTAAAACCGTATAGTAGTTATTCACAGTGCACAAATGACCATGCAAGTTTTGGGGTAGGGGGGGGGGGTTGATGTGTGCTACTTTACCTCTAGTTTTAGAGAGTTTTTTTGGGATTAAACCCATGACCTATGGATAAACACTAAGCACTTGGGGCCACAGTGGGGATGGTTGGTGTTTATGAAATTAGATATTTGTCCCTACTTCTAAATTTCAGAGTTTAGATCTTGATAGGGGATTGACTATATCCTGACAGAAATGTGGTTCTTAATATTCTTTTGGGCCTTAATTTATCATAGGTTGGTGGATTTGGATATTTTACAATGGTAGGGTTTGATCGAATTCAGTTGGCATTGAGTGGATATGTGGATTAGTGAAAGGTAGTCCATCCCCCCAGCCACTCCCACCAACTGTCCCTCTTTTCTATCTCTTGTGTTGTGTTTAACTAGTGACAGGTGGTCGCGGTAACTGCTGAGACATTAAGTCACTTATATGATGATAATGGCAAGATAAAGATGATGGATTTGGGATCTGTGGACCAGATGACCATGATATTGTTGTGATTAATATGATGTGCTGATGATAACTCTTTTAGACCTTTACAGTTTTGAATCCCTTATCTGCAGGTCAGTTGGAGATACCTAATGTTTTGGCCACGAAGTGGACTAATATTAGGTACGCCATATTGGTTTTCTAATTTGTTTTCTCTAACTTGTGCAAAAAATGCACACTAGACTGACATTGTCACCCGTCTTCTGCTGCTGCTTCTTGTTCTTGCCCCCTTTTGCTCAAAGATCTAGGGAAAAATTCAATTCATGGAAGATGTTTTGGCAATATTGCATTTCCTGCCACTTTTTCTAGGTCAATGTATCTATTGTATGTATAGAATGCTAATTCTAAGGGTTCATAAACCCTCATCCGTGTCCCCGGTTTTGGATCTTGTTTCGGGCCTACTACTTATCTTTCATTAGAACTTGGTTTTGGTGGATGTAAGATTTTTGTTTGTGCCATCAGATAACTGAACTAAACTAATTTTCCCTGAGAAATTGTAAATACAACAAGTTGGTTGCTCTCAGAGGCAATGTAATGATACAACTGTTAAACTTCTTGGTATTTCTCTCATCAAAAACTCGGTGAGAGTATTGTGTGTTGAATATCTTAGTTTTCTGATTTTATTCAGCTTTTGGGTGTCGTGACATCTTTAAAGATTTATAACCCTTGTGTGAGCTGCTTCCTTCATGTTTGGTTGGTTGTTACATGCTTCTCTTAATCTTTTTCTTGGTTTAATGAGCAAGTGACAACTGATGTTTACCTATTAAGGAAGATCCTCATTCCTCCAAGTGCGATTGAATCTCATCAACAATAGTACCAATTACCAAAGAGGGTAATATTTAAATCTCTAGTGACAACATTTGTTACCACTTGTGCATCTGTCTTAAGAAACACCTGGTTCCACCTCTTTTGTTTAATCCAACTCAAGGCCTCTCGAGCACTGAGTATAGCCCTTCCCTATATGACAGCACTACCCACCTCATCAAACCCTTCGCGTCTCTCAAAATCCATCCAATATCTAAATCTAAATAAAAACATAATAAGTGTGAATGAAAGTTGTACCCCCATTTATGTCTGTTTTTTTCGTTAAGTTTTTTTGTACATTATGTTATAAAAGTTGTACATTAAAGTAATTTGGACAAACATACTCTTATCGTTATAACTTCCGTTATTTTTTTCCACTATTGTTACCATGCACATGCATTCACCATATGTTTTCTTATCTTCTTCATTAATAATAATATACACACATTATATATTTGAGTTATATGTTAATTATTACCTAAAATATAATTATCAAATTTATAAAAATGATTTATATTATTATTATTATTATTATTATTATTATTATTATTTAGAATAATTTAAATATTTAAAATTTAAATAAATTTAAAATTTTAATATAATGTATTAATATTAGGCATTTATTTTTTGTGCATCGCGCATAAAAAAAATACTAGTTCAATTTATATGAGTCAGCAAGGCGGGTACACCATACGGCTTTCTGGAATGGCGGTTGACTATGTTGCACCATAAGCTGATTTGCATGTTGAGCCCTTCACGGCTTCACCCACTATTAATCTCGGTCCAACAAGAATGAGCAAAATATCAATTTGCAAATAAATGAACCACAAGTTCAACACCACACAAAGGGCATAATTGATCACAATTACCCTGTTTAACTGTCAAGGCATCTTTATTACGACTAGTATTAAGACTTTATGCATTTGAGTCACATTATGACTACCTATCCTAGTCTCTCTATGATTTCTCTTGTATATATTTCTTCAGTCTGCACATGTAACACCCCTTTTCTAAATTCTAAAACTCAATATAATCATTTTTAAATAGGATTAAACAAGGGTAAACTATATAAACTAGGATAACAATACAGTTACCCACTCTCGTAACTGCACATGCTAACAAGATCTACTGAAAACTAGAGTCAAAAGCTCAACAAAACATCATAACGAGGGGAATAAACTCCGGTGTCTACGCACCATCAAAACAAGGCAGTTCAACTACAACTAGCAATAAAGTGCTAATAAGGGAAGAGGGTACTGATCTAATAACTACTAAATCTAGAGCTACGCACTACTCTATCACGCGCGCTCTCAAGCATTGGGTCCACCTGAAAGGGGTTATAAAAGCACATAGGAAAATAAACCCGTTAGCAAATAATGCTAAGTATAAAGCCACTCAACCCTATAAAGTACTATAGATATAGATTGAAAAACGTTTTGCAATCATACACATTCTCAAGTATGAATATAAGCAATCAAGACACTTGGTCAACGATTCTCAATAGATATACTTGTACGCTTCTATATGCTCAACAACCTATATTTTCATATAATCAAGCTTTAACTCATTACTCATACTTGTGAACATTCACATACTGTAAACAGATATAAATCATCTATATTCTACTATGCACTTCTCACAATTATGCTGATACTTTCAAAATAGATAATGAAATGACTGACGCTTATTAAGTAAAGTCATGGTTTCATGCTAATACTTAAAGAACGATAAAATTGTACTTCTCAAATACTCAAGATGAGACATATGCTATGCCATGATATAAATAAGGATATGACGCTATAAATATATACTTGTACTCTCGCTCTTTATTTAAAAAGGAAATACTTTTCAGTGGAGGATCTCTGTTGAGTCACTTGACTCGCTTTTCTCTTCTTTCTTTCTTTCTTTCTTTCTTACTGAACTCGTGGGGGAGGTAGGAACTTCACGTATCGTGAATGGACCTATCCGGGCTCGGCAGTCTAGCTGGCTTAATACTAATCTCGCCCACAGAATCGGTACTCGTGGTTTTTATAACTCTGTGGAATCAGGTAACGTACTTTCGGTGTGCACACCCCCTAACTAGGATTCCAAGCTGTTAATAAGTGTTATATTATATAGTTTTTATATTTCTTTATTTATGTGGTTTAGATTGTATTGACATGAGCTCTCTATTAGATAGGAGAGTTTCACGTCAAGTTATCTTTTATCTCTGTTGTATTTGCATTCTGTTGTAACTGTTCACTAATTCAATTCTCATTTGGTATCAGATAGGATCATCATCCTTTTTCTCTCTCCACCCCAAACCACCACCATCCGATCACCATGTCATCGCACTCCTCTGAAAGAACCGTGACTGCCGGTGGCTCCCCATCGCCGGCGACCAGAGTCTCTCTCGCCGGCGCTCACCACCACGTCTCCATGAAGCTCAACAGCCGGAATTTTCTCTTCTGGCGAACTCAGCTCATCCCCTTCCTCCGGGGGCAGGATCTACTGGGTTACGTAGACGGCTCGACGCCGTGTCCATCTCCGACGATCGCTGCTGCCTCCTCCGGCGAGTCGGGCTCCGGTGCGACGACGACTGTGGTTGTTCCCAACCCCGCGTACAAGGCCTGGATCTTGCAAGACCAGTCCATCTTATCCATGCTGATCTCCTCCATGTCCGACGAAGTTCTTCACCTGGCGGTCAGACGGGAGACAGCTGCGGCGGTTTGGCAGTCGATCACCTCCTCGCTTGGATCATCCACCGAAGCTCGTTGTCTCAGCCTCTTAGGCCAATTCCAGACGCTGAGAATAGGGAACCAGTCGACGGCCGAGTACCTGGGGCGTGCTGAGGTTCTCGTGGAAGCTTTAGCGTAGGCCGGCCGACCTCTCTCATCCACCGAACAGAACCTATACGTTCTGCGCGGTTTGCGTCAAGACCTGAGAGTGTTGGCTGCTTCACTTACCGCCACCAACAAAGCTGTTTCTCTCCCGCAACTTGCTGATTTTTTGACAGCGCAGGAGTTCATCATATCCGATGATTACTCTGCCGTGGGTGACGGTGGCAGTGGACATCTTCCGGCGGCCTTATACGCCGGGCGTGGTCGCGGATCCAGTGCTGATGGCGGACGGAACTCCGGCTCGGGCCAACAGTGGCGAGGCGGACGGAACAGTAATGGCAGGAACAACCGGGGCAGAGGTGGCCGGAATGGTCGTGGTGTTCCACGGTGCGAGATTTGCCATGCTCAAGGCCACACGACGGTGTACTGCTACAAGCGGTATACGACCCAGCCGCCGGCAGAAGCTCACGTTACCACCGACGGCGAGCTTCCGGCGACCCCCTCGGCTACATCGGCGGACGGATGGTACCCCGACACCGGCGCCACCGCACATGCCACGCCGGACGCAAGCATGATGTCCCGATCGGATGAGTACAGCGGCCCTGATGTGTTACGGGTCGGGAACGACGCAGGTTTGACTATCACCCGTGTCGGTCATGCATCGATCTCGTCCGTGTCAAAATGTTTAAATTTATCAAATGTGTTACATGTTCCGCGTCTATCGGTCCCTTTACTTTCCGTACAAAAATTTACAAAAGAAAACGGTGTTTATTTTGAGTTTCACAATGACTATTTTATTGTGAAGGATTCCAAAACCAGGGACATTTTGCTTAAGGGACCAACTTCCGGGGGATTATACAAGCTTCCGTTGTCAAACACTCAGTTTGCGTTCATCAGTTCCCGGGCCACACAAGACGTTTGGCACCGAAGGCTAGGTCACCCGCATGGGGTTGTTCAGAAACACATTCTAAAAGATTGTCCAGTTTCATCGAATAAGTCAAAATCTGCGGAGTCGTGCACGGCTTGTCACCTCGGCAAGTCGTCTCGGTTTAAGTTAGATAGTGTTCATAAATCTAGTACGAATGTTTTAGATTTAATTTTCACTGATGTATGGGGCCCGGCTCCGGTAGTTTCTTCTAGTGGTAATCACTACTTTTTACTTTTTTGTAGACGATTACTCCCGGTACTGTTGGTTTTATCCGTTACGAGTAAAATCTGATGTTTATAAAACATTTGAATTGTTTCGGGTGTTGGTAGAGCGACAATTCTCGCGCTCTATCAAATGTGTCCAATCGGATCTAGGGGGTGAATTCAGAAAATTACAAACAATATTTTCTCTATGAATTTTTTACACCTTGCTGTGGTGATGCTTGCTAGGGGATCGGCCTCCACCCATTTTGTGAAATAGTCGATGGCTATAATGATGTATTTTCTGCTTTCGGTCCCCGCGGAAAGGGCTCCTACCAGGTCAATTCCCCATCTTGAAAAAGGAATTGCGGTATACACCGGGGTGTAGTTGGTTGTAGGCCGACTTGGTAACACCTGGAATTCTTGGCACTTGGGGCACCGTTTTGCGTATTCGGCGCAGTCCTTTAGCATTCTAAGCCAAAAATACCGCTGTAACATGATGCGTTGTGCAATGTTGTATGCCCCTTGGTGTGCAGAGCATACCCCCTCGTGAACTTCCTTCATCATTAACTTGGCTTCATCAGGGTATAGGCATCTTGGTAACGTGCCATTGTAGGATCGTTTGTACAGCTTATCGCCTGAGATGACGTAACTGTGTGCTCGTAATTTTGTGAATTTTGCATCTGCCTCATCTTGCGGTAAGGAGCCATCTGCCTTGTATCGCTTGATATGATCGATCCAACACGGCTCCCTAGTCTGCACTAGGCAAACCCACGAAACATCAATGCTTGAAGTTTTGAGA